CGACATTTTAGAGACCTTTCGATACAAGTGACAAAGAAATAAACGATTAGGAGCCGAGGCAAGCGGAGTTTCTAAATAAAGACTTGAAGGTTTAAGCTAAGAAGGTCATTTCGGATAATTATCCAGCTGTGATTTAATTTGTGCTCTATTTTATAGCTAAATTAGGTAAGTAATACTAAATTCTTGCAACTATTTATTTGGCTTTTTTTTTAAACTTCTTTCTCTATAATTACTTTATTTTCATATTTTTTTACGCAACCGTCCGGGAAATTAGCTTTCGCGGCCGCCTTACCTTACGTGCAAAATGTGTCAAATTCATACAGTTTTTCTATAATTTTACATAATTTTTATAATTGCACAAAAAATAGTGTGTTTACCATGACCGCGAAACTTTTGAGCGTCCTTGAGATTATCTTTGAGATATAACTTTTCTCTACGTACGCTAAAAAGGCATTTCGCGGCCTTGGTATACAAATAACTTTTGTTGATTTTCACGTTGGACTGCATGCGAATTGCGTTTCAAAACTGTCCAATCCGAAAAACGCAAGATTTTTCAATCATCCGAGATCATAAAGTCTGTTTTGTTTAAAGATAATTCCCCAAGTCAAAAATTTAGTAACTATGTTGGCAACACAAGCCTTTTCTACATAAAAAATTTGAAAGCATGACAATTCTACATTGTATTGCCAACATAATGTCATTTTGACTTTTATCTTTAAAAAAAACAGACTTTAGATTTTTCTGGACTTTGCCAGTACTGACTGATCAGTGGCGAGCCATATCGCACCCACTCCAAAAAAAACTATATTCTGTATGTCATAGGATAGTTTTGTAATCTGATAGATCCGTCTTATTTCGTGGCTATTTGTATAATTGGCGATGACCATGGACTTGAAGACTGTTCAACAACTCCCTGTGCAAGCATACTACTAGTGACTCCACTTCTTGTTGCTTGGTTATGGGAAGTCTTGTAGATGGTTGACGAATTGGTTGAGCACTGCGGATATTGATTTTATGCCTGATAGACATGACGCCACAGTGATATGTTAGGGGCATTGGACCCCCCAAAGCCCCGAGATTTTTGTCTGACAAATGTGATATCGTTAACGTAATATAAAAAACAGTCGAGTGGCATTAAAACGAGATGTAGGTACAGTTGCGATAAATAAAAATAGTACAAGAAGAATCTCCAAAATCTCCTGGTCTATTATATATTAATTTAATTCATAAGCAAAAGTGACATATTTTTGGCATTATTGATAAATTTTTAACCTAGAAAGCTTCAGGTGACATTACTTTGGTGTTTTCCACCTGTTTTTAACATAGAATATGTCATTGTCTATTGAACCCAACATATTTTGAAATGTTTATTTACTGTCAAAATTTTGTATGTTATACCGGGAGCTCAAATTGGGGTCAATAATTTTTGTACTACTTTTTGTTTATCGTAGCTGTACATGTATCTTCCTAAGGGACGTTAAAAGGACAACTTCGCGAAGAGCTAGCGCGAAAATGTCCCATCGCCCAGGGTGAAGATGTGAACAAAATTGTCCGACTTGATGTAGCAGCTCAGGAAGTTTGGCCTCCTGTACAGGGTGTCCGAATTTGGATGGTTTAATAGGAAACGTCAATTTCTGAGCGAGATACAAAAAAATGAACCCCCCACTCCGAGGCTCAAATTTCTTGAAATTTTGATTGGTGCAAACCGCATTTTGATATCTTCAACCGTTTAGCCGCTAGAGGGCGATTCTCGATTTTGAGCAATACTGTGAAATCTTCATAACTTTTTTGTTTATAAAAATAACTGATTTCTGTAAAAACTTCCTAGAAGCACTTTTTCAAGCCGAATTCAGTGACGTTTTCAGTTTTTTTCTATTGGGCCTCGATTTCAAGATTTTGACCAAAATCCGATTTTTTCTCATTAGAAAGCTCTGCTTTTGCTGATTTCAATGATAAAAATTTCGATAGGTTTATCTCTAACAGTTTTTGAGAAAAAAAAATATTTCGGCTTTTGTCATAAGAAACAATGAGTTAGAAAGAGACCTTTCTCAGTTTCCTTACAGATATAAAGTCCTTTTCTTACACATTACTTCTTATGACAAAAACCGAAATAATTTTTTTTCTCGAAAACTATTAGAGATAAACCTATCGAACTTTATATCATTGAAATCAGAAAAAGCCGAGCTTTCTAATGAGTTATTAATATATAGAGTGTCCTATTGAAAAAAACCAGACTTTGGTCAATATCTCGGAGTTGGGACCAACTAGAAAAAAACTGAGAACGTCACTGAATTCTGCTTGAAAAAGTGCTTTTAGAAAGTTTTCACGGAAATCAATAATTTTCATAAACAAAAAAGTTATGACCGGTTATGATGGTTTCACATTATTGCTCAAAATCGAGAATCGCCCTCTAGCGGCTAAACGGTTGAAGATATCAAAATGCGGTTTGCACCAATCAAAAATTCATGAAATTTGAGCCTCGGAGTGGGGGGTTCATTTTTTTGTATCTTGCTCAGAAATTGAAGTTTCCTATTAAAACCATCCAAATTCGGACACCCTGTACATTTAAAGGTCGATGCAGTGGGGACTATAATGATGTTTGTCTTGGCAATTTCCTTATTTCTACCTGTATAAATTCACAAAAAAAACGTCGAGGAATCTTCTTCAGTTCCGTAGATGAAAGATGTTGCAATAAAGATGTCTCGAATTATCTTAGAATGTCGCTAGATCACTTTCAGTGGCGAGCCATATTGCAGCCAATCAGTAAAAGCTACATTCTGTGTGTAACTGTGTAATAGGAAAGTTTTGTAATGGTTTATCAATTTTCTTTAGAATCTTTAGGTTGGGCCTTGGGATCAATTTGTTCACATTGTCAACATGCCTTCTATGAAGGCAACTGTTGGAGAATCCTGCGGATGCTCCCCACCTGCAGCCTTCTGCGCCGAGATAATGGTACAAATAGTAGAGCACAATGTAATTTTAACCTGAAAACTCAGCTTAAAGTACCAAGGTTCTCTCCTTTTCAGCGCATTTTAGAATTGAGAGTTGTTTATTTGGTTTATTAAAAGGTATTATACTAACTATATGAAATATTCGATCATATTTATCGGGGCAATATCATTATCAATTCAGGAAAGAATTCTGGATATATCAATTCAGGAAAGAATTCTGGATTGAAAAAAGTTCGAAAATTCGTTTATTTTATCTATTCTTGGCCGTGTTTACATTAACAAATTCTTTTATAAAATTAATCTTTGCCGCGATCGATACACTTAATTGCCTTTTTCACAATATTTCACCTGTCAGTGGATCTTAATAATTTATTTTCAACTAGCTAACTGCCCGCTGCGTTGCTAGCGTGGAAATAATTTTGAAATAATATTTTTAATAATAATTTTTTGTTGATTTTCTTAAGGTTTTTTATATATATATATACTTTTTTAGATTCCGTGCTTTATTTCCTTCAGTTTGATACCACACAACCTATATTTTCGAAAGAACAATTTTTAATTTTTTCATGAAGATGGGGGACATAGGGAGGTGATAATAGAAAAACAAATACGAAACACTTTTCTAGATTCCGTGCTTTATTTCCTTCAATTTGATACCCCACAATCACCCATATTTTTGAAGCGAATTTTTTTTTATGATGATGGGTGACACAGGAGGTACTTAATAGGGGAGGTGATAGAAAAACGCCGAAACACGGGTCCTATTATTTTATTAGTAGAGTTTACATATGAATTTTTAAACATCGGTTACTTTTCGTTTCCGAGATAAAAGCTATTTTCGGGTTCGAAAAAAGGACGGTTCTAGAACGGTTCAAAACAATCGCACAGTTCATCAATCAACAAAATGACAACGGTTCGGCTATCACAAATTTCAATAATAAACTGTGCGATTGTTTTGAACCGTTCTAGAATCGTCCTTTTTTCGAACCCGAAAATAGCTAAAATCCCTTTACCCCTCCCAAAATCAAATTACCCCTATTTCTCCGCCCCCAGTTAAAATTTCAAAAAACTCTGAAATACGTGTTATAGGATTTTCACGCTATATTTAGGATGACGTCAAATTTAGTAAATTTCTGCTGCAAATCTGACAAAATTAAAAGTACTTCCCAACCGAGTTCCCAACCCAGATAACACGAAGTGCGTCAATATACTGAAAAACTTCCGGCCGACTTCAGGCAAAGAAGCGTTTTAATAATAATGCTTTAGAAATGTATTTAAAGTACGTGCATTAACACAAACCAAATCATAGTATCTTTAAAAGCACCAAAGAAATGCAACCATTTCATATTTAAATCTGGGTAATCATTGAAGCGCTGGAAAAGTACTGCAAACTCATATTATTTTATTGCGCGAATCAGAGTTGTTCTAAAAGCATTAAATGAATGCACCCGGTTCAACATTCAGTTTGGGTGATCGTTGAAACACGGGAAAAGTACTGCAAAATGGCATTATTTTGATATGTGAATGCAAGGTATTCTAAAGAGTATTCAGCAAATGCCCCCATCTCAACATTCAAATTAATTGATCGCTTAAACTACAGGGAAAATACTGCAAATAGGCATTATTTTTATATGACAATGAGAGGTGCAATATTAACGCCAAAAAAGCACTCGAGACAAATATCTTATTGAAATTGTAATTGTGTAATATTAGCTTTGTTTGTTTATTTGTCCCAACCGACACTTCTAACACCGAACGTGTTTGTTTATCCTGGTTCATCTATAATCAGTTCTTTCCTGATTTCCGCTTTGGTGATGCAAATTGCAAAAACTACACTTGGTGCAGCTTGGTGTAACAAAGCAGAAACCCAAAAAGTGCTTCCAGAGTACTCTGTGCATACAAGCCAAAAGAACGCGTCCTACGCGCTGTGCATTATGGGTCGGCAACCTGTAGCACCAATCACGTAACAAACATCAATCAGCTGATCAGGATCAGCAAATCACCACGCTCCACGCTCGCGGCTCTCTGGCTTTCTAGCATTGACTTTCTAGTCAAGTCCCCCAAGTCGAGAGTTTTGTTTCGTTCTCTCTGTGCTGTGGAAATCGTTGGCAGTGGAGGTAGAGGGCCATTTTTCAGGTGCGACCGTCGACCCTTGAGCTGGTTGAGTTGAACATGAGTTCCAAAGGGTGAGTATAATAATTGTATATGTATATTATACCTATTGATATTAATTTAATACTTGTTTTGGGGCTTGCGGGCCTGATACCATTCCTGCCATTGGATTTCCGTGTTTCCGCCATTTTATTTAGTATGTTATGAAGTAGGTATTATTGCTTTGCTTTTTATTAAAATCGATAAAAAAAATTTTAGGGGAAAACTATTTATACCTCTTTTACATTGCATAGTTCAATAATTGGTAAGAAACAAATTAATTACAATAATTTTTAATTTATTTTTAGCAACTACTATGTTGTAGTTGAATTCAAAGATGAAGAGTGCAACGGCCAACTGCCACTGGCAATTGTACCCGAAAGCTGGGTATTTAAAGAACAGTCGTTCTTTTTTTGCTACTGGTCAAAATATCAAAATCAAAACAAACTTAATAAACTGATTATTGATCAAGGCGAAATAGATTTTGAATTGAGTCAAAAATGCCCAATTAATATTAAGTATAAATCAAGTAAGTTAAGATCACCTACATGAAATTTGTGTAAAACAAATTCAATAATATTGTTATAGATTATTTCTAATTCTTTAAATTATAATTTCAGGGCTATATTCCCAGGCTGTGGAAAAGATGAAGAAACTTGAAGATTGCTCGAGTGTGTCCCAAACTGATGATGAAACTGATGCTGAAATAAAGCTGCCAAATAATAAAAAAAGATACATTCAAAAAAATAGGCGTAACGAAGAGTTTAATGTAGAAAGTGCTGAAAGTGATGAATCTGACGAGTTGCCAGCTGCTCCACAACCGTTGAAAATTCCACAACAAAAGAATAAACCCAAAGAGACACCTTCTAAGCAATTAAAGATACTCAGGCCTATCAAAAATCCAAACCCCATCAGTTCTAATGACTCTGAACAAGAACTGTAAATTTTGGATAATTTAAGTTTTGATTTAACTGATACTAGCCATATTGTATCCTTATCGGACGTGGACGTGGACGTAACATTGACAAACAAGCTGGCAGATGACAAAAATAAAACGTTCCTATGTGATGGGTGCGCAAAAACTGAAGGTGAGACTATAAGTGAAACTTTTTTTTTATGATAAATAATGTTTTTAGAGCTACTACCACAACTGATGGAGCGTATTGAAGAAATTGCCGAGGATATTAAATATCTTTTACTCTGTCAGCAACAAAATGCTCAAGAAGGAAAAGAGTTTGCCAAGTCTAACTTTCATCCATGTGGAACAAAAGAAGAATTGCAAACATTAAATGAATCACTGGGTGACCCCAATACTTTTCAATCAACTGTAAGGTTCTTAGGAATAATTATTTTTTAAAGTTCTCCCTTATTGTGAAAATTATTTTTTTTAGTGCCTATTTCTACAAACAGTAGGCGGAAAAGATGTAGTCGATACCACCAGAAGGATGTTGTCCAGAATTATAAAAAATGATTTAGCAATGACGTACAATTGGACTGGGAGAAATTCCAAAGAAAATTTCAGTATTTTTGAAAACATAATGAAGTTAATACTTGGTAAGAACTAATTTTACATCAAACTCTTAGGTTAGGCCCAGTTGTATCGGGTGTTCTAAAAAAACAATCAAAGATTGCTTTGGTTTTTTAAACATATGTCTTAGCAATATTTTTCTTTAATTTTGTCAATGAACTTTAATGTCAAAATGTAATGACAAAAATCCTGACCAATGAAGAAACAGTAATACGATGTACGTTTTCGTAATCAAAGCAATCTTTGATTGGTTTTTTTTTTTGAACACCTGATACGTTCTAGGTGCAATAGGGAACTTGCACATTTTTTTTTATTTCAAAAATGCGTTGTACTACACTAAAGATATAGTCATGCCAAATATCAAGCATTAAAAATCAGCCGTTAATTTTTTATAAATATTTGAAGTTACGCTCGAAACATCGCCATTTGAAACGACCGATTAGTGTGACGTCACTCAGCAACAAAATTCTGTTCACAGTCCTTGGTTGACAGTGACCTGCGAGCAGGTAGATTTAGATTATGGTTATGTTGTTATGTATGCCGTTTATGATAGATTTGACATTGACAACACCAGCAGCACATGGCGTGGCAGCGGTGCGACCCGATTATTACTGCCCTTTGACGTCAGGACCCATAGAAATACGTTTTTGATCTCGTCAAGAATTTCGAATTATTTGGTATTTTCAATTGAAGATTTTGAAAACCAGAGATAAGGTATTATATCCTTTTCCTAATTGCATCACTTATTAGGATGATTGTTATTGTATTTTATTATTTATTTCATATTTAATTTAATGTGCAAGTTCCCTATTAGTGGTTCAGTTGAAATCAACTGGTATTTGAACATTCCCATTTGAAATGCATTACTGTCAAATATTAGCTCACACGAATACTATATTATAGTAATGTGAGCTATGGTGATCGTGGCAAAAATTTTAAAAAAAGTTGCTCTGATTTCAAAAAATTTCATATATCTTTGGGTTCTAGTTGATTTTGAAACTTTTTTGTCGCGCCGCCTGTCTGTCTGTTCAAATTGGCAGAGATTTTTTTATTTATGACAGCAATTAATTTTAAATGAGAAAGTTCAAATACCAATAATTGAGTTCAACTAAACCACTCTTCAGGTAAAGTGCTGTCCTACGGACATCTAGAGTAGGAACACGCAATTAAGCTATGAAACTGAAAGTGGAGACAGTTTTTTGCAGGTGTTTGTACACCAAAGGACAGATCAAGCATTCATCGCAATGTATCGGGTGATTATTTATATTTTGCACCCACACCTATCTCACCTATTTGAAGAGATACTAAGAAATGTCAAATTTGAAAGTTGTAGGTAATATCAGAAAGTTTTCAACGAAGTTAGTTATAAGTATAAAGGGTTTGTCACAAAAGTGTGGCAAAGCAAAGTTGAACTTTTTTGAATGGAATAACCTGATTCCAAATATACTAGGTTTTTAAGGTTTATTCCTAATAGTCCAGGAGAAAATAATAGAAAAAATGGGTAGAATAATTGCATTTTTATTGAAAAAGGTAAAGTAGGTATAGAGACCACCAGCAAAATATAAAAGTAATCATTCAAGTAAAAAATACATATTTTCTCTTCAAAATTGGATTTTCAGAGGCCGGACTATGAAGAATAAACCTAAAAAACTTGGTATATTTGGAATCAAGCTTGAAATGCTAATCCAATAGGTCAATAAGTAATATATGAGGTGTTCCATTTTAAAAAGTTTAACTTTGCTTTGCCATACTTTTGCGACACATCCTGTATACTTGTAACTAACTTCGTTGCAAAGTTTCTGATATTACCTACAACTTTCACATTTCACATTTCTAAGTATCTCTTCAAACAGGTGAGATAGGCGTGGGTGCACAATCACCCAGTACAGCTAGTCCTTCATCATCCATGTGTTGACAACCTGTGGTATATTTTCAGTTGCCGTGAGAAAAAACCCTTTGTCCAGGAACGCCACAGAGCTAGAAGTGCACCAAGTGACAAAAAAATATTTACGAAATGCCTGTGATCGTGATGGTGGTCTAGCAAAAAGGCAAACAAGGGAAAATTAGTAGAATCAGGGATCAGGTAATTTTCACATTTTATGTGAAACTAATTATATTGGTATATTGTTCTGATGTTTCAAAAATTATTAAAATGTTCACAATTATCACCATTCTTATCATAGAAAAAATATTCCACTGCTTTTTTATGCATTTTTATTTTTTTTGTATTGATTGAACAATAGCCTGTGAAGTGTATGCCAAACTTAACAAAATAAAATTAAAAATTTGAACAGGTATTTATTTTTTTATTTTCCAAGTATTTATTAAATATTGCCCAAAATAGAAAACTCCCAGCTGCGTGGCCCGATTCCTAGATCCGCGCGTGCTATAAAATTGGCTCTTATGAGACGAATATACTATTAAAGTACACTTTGTCTTTTCCAGGTAGGATAGATATCCACTATGTATAAGCAGCTACCAAAGAATTATTTGAGGAATTATATTTGAACAGAAATGTGTTTTATTTTTTTTTCATTAAAGTGAAATTAAACATTTATTTGTTTTTCTTATTTTTGTTGATATCAGGATGATTCCCGTAACAACATTTTATACAAAAAGGCAAAATTTGAAATATTCTTGCTCTATGTTCAACAGGTGCCCATATAGTGACCTATTGTTTGATTCCCGCTCAGGTGTTACAATTTAAAAAAGGCAAATACAAAGTTTGCTTGAATTCTCTTGGCCACTCTTACGAAAATAGTTTTTAATGCAACAATAAGGTGTGCAAAATCAAAAAGTTTTCCATCAAAGAAAAAGTCGCTTTTGATCCTGCATTTTTGACATAACCTGTAGAATTAAAATAATTTTCGTAAGATGTGCCAGGCAAAGCCAAACAAACTTTGTATTTTCCTCTGCCACACCTGGGCAGGTATCGAACGATTCCTCACTGTGTGGATACCCAGTATAATTAGAGTGAATTAAAAGCACCCTAATAAAGTACTTGAATGGTGCTTAAATAAAGTACTTTAGAAGTACAATATTATTAGTGCTTCTCCTCTGTCTGAAAAGTGCATTTATAAAGCTTTTCATGAGTACATAAACAGTACTTCAAAAGCACTTTTTTTAGCAATACTTTTAAAGCACTTTTAGAGCACCCCGCAATGAATGTGTCTCGGTGGAGTGCTTCTACGATAGTGCCTAATTTTTAACGGCCAGCTGGACATCCCAGAAGCGGCTGAGTGGATTTCCAAAGTACTTCTCAGGCATTCAAGTGTAGAAATGCGGTACAATTGAAGTACTTCTTATATATTTTTGTGTTATCTGGGAACGCATTTAAAGTAGGGGAATTTCAGATGTTTCTGGTTGGCAACGGCGACATTTTCAAATAAATAACTCGTGTCGATTCAATTCATCATTTTTAGCTGTCAGTGGTCTTGATAATTCATTATGACATTCTGGTTAATTATAAGAAAACAAATAGGCATTGACAACATTGTCATTCCTTGTTCTCTGACGTCATCCTAAATATAACGTAAAAAACATATAGTTATATTAACCAATTGCCACGCTGATTTACAATCAAATATCCTTTTTGTATATGCTTCAATGTGCTTACCCCTTTCCTCTATGACTTTTTAAATACATTGTTGTAAAGTAAACATCAAATTGCTATATCGGCATTAAATTCTTATTTAAGCATGCGCAGTCCCATAAGGAACGTTCATTAGTTTTCAGGCTTTTGCTGTAGCAATTTGATCCACATATTTTTTTTTGTCACCTCTGTATTTTAATCATTAAAATAAATGTTATTTAAAATACAAGTTTCTGAATCTAAAATATAATTGGTGCAGTCGTTCGGATGCTCAGAGTGCTTAAGTTTCGGGAGAGTTGATACAGTCGTAATCCGTCGCGAAAATTTCAAAAGACTGAAGGAAGTTCGAAAAAGTGAATTCTTCGGGAAAGTGAAATTTGGATTACCAGTGCTACTATTAAACGTTCTAGATACTGTCCACTTCGAATTGGTTAACTGAGTAAAAGGAATAACAAGAAACAACGTGTGAAGAAAGACTACTGTTATTAGCCTTGCCTAGTAAGTACATCCTTTCTCTTTATACATTTTGTAATTGGTGTTCCATAATTAAGATTTTTGGATTTTTAATCTTTTGTAATTTCTAATTTTTGATTTAATGAGAAGACTTAAATTCAGATTTTTGTTCTTTTGCAATTCCAAAAAGGTTTACTGAAAAGACTGAAATCAAAAATAAAGAGTAACAAAGAATTTACAAACCCACAACAACAATTAATTTTAAAGAAAAGCAACGCTTGAAACTGACTAATCTATAGTACCAGGTGTCCCACTAAGGTCGGCCAGGTACGATATTATGGAAACCATAGACCTTACGGCTTCATGTTTTTTCTTTTCTTCACTAAATCGGCCAAGAGAAATTGATGGAAATTATTTTCAAGTTTCTAGGATGACCGCTAGGGGGCGCAATTACGATGATATAGCTAAAAATACAACTTTTCTCAAGAAATCGCTATATTAAGATACTGTTTTAACAACAGAAATCAAAAGTTCATTAATTTTTGCGCCAGTTTGGTTATTAGGCTTTTTTTCGTATCTTCAGTAATAAGGGTGGGGGAAGCTGGTGAATTTTTTTTTTAGAAATTGCTGTATCTTCCATACCCTTCATTCAAACTCATTCAATTTGGGTTTATTTGGAAGAGAATTTCATTGTTATTAAGAACACCACTTCGTTCGAGGACGATAGTTCGCACCGCGTCTGCTAGAGGGCGCAGTTTATTCAAGATCCAGTTTTTCCTAATTTTCATGAAAAATCCAAATGGCATAATATTATTTTTCTACTGACGTTTCATAATAGCAACTTTTCGATTGTCATTTCAGTTTTGAAACGACATTCTTTTAGGCACTGAGTGCGTGAAAGTTACTTTTAGGCACTCAGTGCGTAAAAGTGACTTTTGAATGCGTAAAAGTGACTTATGAGTGCGTAAAAGTAATTTTTAAGCACTAGTGCCTAAAAGTGTCAATCATTATTCAGAAATAAAAAACAACACTAAACACATATTTGAATTTTGTTTTGTATTTATTATGAATATTGAAAATGGAATTACTGAATTGAACGTTTGGGTTACTCAAAACAGAACTTTGTGTTATTACCTACTTTCTAGGATTTTAAATATTGATGCCGAATTTTGAAAAGAAAATCGCATGAAAAGTGTCAGGTGTCAAGTAAAAGCAGGTGACAAAGATTTTGGGTGTAATCGACTTATTCACATGAAATAAAATTGTGTTTTTTTTATTATAAAATGCCAGTAGAAAAAATCTTGTATACAATACGTTACGAAACGATGTCTTTTAGTCACTCGACGTGTTGTCCAACTCGGCTTTGCCTCGTTGGACAAAAGACGCTCATTTCGTAACTTATTGTATAAATAGCTATTTTGTATTGCTGTGCTTAAAAAGCAAAAAAAATATCTACATTTTGGCGCAAACCGCAATTCAATATCTGCATTTGTTTTCAAGTTACGTGAGGTCTATGGTTTCCATAGTATCGTACCTGGCCGACCTTAGTGGGACACCCTGTACCTATATATAAAACACAGTTGTGTTTTGTGGAAGCACTTATAACTCGAGCAAGGCTGGACTGATTTTTATGATTTTTGCTTTATTGGATTTGTCTTTGTCTATCCTAACATAATAAATGGAAAAAATCCAAAAAAAAAACAAACCAAACAAAAAAATTACCTTTTTTACTTATTTGTGAAAAAACATTAATAAGCCCGCATACGGCGCCATCTCTTATAACCGATACCAAGTTTACCGTCACATTTTCATTGCAAATCATGTGGATTTTATTGTCACACACTTTGCACAAAAACAATTTAAGGAAAGCACTTTACATTCAATTGTTCTTCACAATAAAAATGTCCAAAAATAAATAGAATTACAATGTTTTAATTGTGTATTTTATTTTGTTGTTGGTACATTCTTTGAACATTCCTGTGCCTGAGTTTATTTATTTGGTGGTACACTTTACAAGAAAAATGCCCACAAGCGGCCTTGAAAGGGATGATGTAAAATTTTAATTTTAGGTGACTTCTGATCTAGAGAGTAAATATTAATATTCTTCAACCAAAGCCAAATTCACCATCGAAAAAAACTGAATTTAATTCAGCTAATAGATACGTTAACACAACATTTAATAGGTATTTAATAATTCAGAGACGGTACGAAGTTCGCCGGGTCAGCTAGTCAATTATAATTTTAATTTTAATAAAACTTTTTAATTTCAAATTTTTAAATTTTCAAAATAATTTCTTTTAACAATTCAAAGAAATATATATGTCAGATTCTGAAGAAGAAATCGAGAATCTCTGGACTCAATTCAATTTAACTCATCTTTATAATTCCAATTCAAGAAGTAACAACCAAAATCAAAGGCCAACCCGTAACAATGAGTGAAAATTTAAAATCAATCATTCAACTGATCAAACCTTTCAGTGGCAAAAGCCAATATTTAGAATATTTCATTTGAAACGTCAATGATTTCTACCAAACCTACTACACTGGTGAAAATGCCCATAAAGAGTATGTGGTTACCGCCATAAAATCAAAATTAATAAATGACGCGGGAAATTTTCTTATGGCACGTCCTGATTTACAAACATGGACCGATATAAGAGAAGCGGTGAGAATTAATTATGGTGATCAATATTCTAGACAGAATTTGGTACAAGAGCTTATGTATACCACAAAAACTTAAAAACTACACTCAAAAAAATCTTGATCATAATATCAATGAACTGCTTTCATAAATTACATTTTCATTGATTCAGTGAAATTTTCATTAATCCCAGGTACAGAAAACTGTAAGTATTATGATTTCATGAACAGCTATCATTAAAATAAAGAATGAAGCTTCATCAAGTTATGAATAGTCATCTACATGAATCTATGTTGAATAGTGCATCGGTTACAAGAACTAAGTTCATTGATATTATGAAATTAAACCTTGATATTAAAGAAAATTTCTTTGATGGGAGCTTCCACGGAATATTCATAATATAAATGAATATTAACATGAATAATATGAATATGGTTCATATGACCTTACTAGAAAATTATCCTTTTAAGAACGAAATTCATTGATACAATGTACGGTTCATTTAAAACAAGCAAGTATTCCTAGAAACAAAGCTGCAACCATTACATCAAGATAAATCATAAATACAATGAAACAGTTCATAGCATTAATGTAGACAGTTCCTAAGCACATGCGCAAAGGTAGCTGCAATCGGGCAACGACATAGAAAAATATGTTGAAATAGGAATAATTACATTTCTCTTTTCTGGGTGCACTGCTACGTACTTCGTTCAAGTCGGTTTTTTCGGTTTTGTGTTGTTCGAAGTGTTAAATAGAAAGTCGATTATACCTGTCGCCGGTTTTTTCTAAAGGTAATATTAAAGTCACCGGCAAGTATAACCTCTATTACCTCTATAATATGTATACCTATTATGTAGGTAGGACTTGGA